ACTGTTATGCTTGTTTGACTTGATTTAATCTTTTGTTTTCTGAGTTATATCAGAGTTTATGTTGTCAGTTTAGTTAGTAGATTTCAGTTACCAATATTGTTATTTTATATGATTTATCCAAGTTTATCTTTTGGGCTACATTAACAACAAATGTTTTTGGGATTTAACCTGACTGTCGTTTTACTGTTCTGTCCATCACACTCATTATTGGAAGGTTTGAAACGTAAAATTAACCTAAGAAACGTCACAAACTACGTGTCCATGTGCATCTGACTCTTTATTTACATTCAGTAAAATGTGTTAAAAATGGTCTGAAGTAGGAACTGAGCATTTTGCATTATGTTTATCCCAATATCCTAACATCTAAATGTTTCCTTCTATTTCTTGTCTTTAATCATTTGACCTGAATTTACTTTTCATCCACTTTTTTTGGTCCAACCAGCACAGTTCACACAGTCATAGCCTTAGATGATGCAAGAATTTCAATGACAAAAAGCTGCATAACAGATGCGACTATTTTTTAAATTATTTTATCACCTCAAAGAAATAATCATTTTACTTGGATGTTGTATTTTGCTATACGTGTTGAGGAGTTATAAAGGTAAATAAACTTTAATGTGATCATAAATGTAGACCCAGACACCAAAGAGACAGTTTTCCTAGATAGAGGTAGTTTAGTTTATTATGGCACAAAGTTTACAGGAATTTAAAAAATTTAGATTAAAAAATGCACAAACAAAAAAAGTAAAACATCATCAAGAAAGATTAACAACCTCAATGTTTCTCTGAAACATCCCATTGATCAACTTCCCTGATTTAAACATCTGCAAACAACTAAACCATAATCTGAGTACCTCTGGCTCTGAGCAAATTAGTATTGCTTTGATTTTATTATTGATTTTATCCAGATGCACCTGTTGTGTGCAAACACAAAGATCAGCTTTCGTATTAAATCACAAAATGCTTCCCAGTGTGGAGGCCAGGACGGCTGCTCCGACGGCGGCGCTGAAGGCCATCTTGTTGGACGGAGCGGCGCTGAGTGTGATGGGGTTGCAGCTCTCGGTGGAGCAGCAGGTGATCTTGGTGTTGTAGGTGACGCCCATCATGGTATCAGGGGTAGTTGTGTCACAGCCGGTGGTGTTTTCCCTGCAGCCCTGGATGTTGAAGCCCACAAAGTCTGGCAGGGACGGGAATGCTGCAGAGAAACAGATTAATTAAATCAGTGGGTTTGGAAAACTTGCACTTTTATTCATCTGCATCTAATTGGTGATTTTATCTAATTTCATTGAGTTAAAAAAATGCTTTTCTTCTGATGCTCTGTTGACCCAAAGGGTCACCACACTGGAAAGTCCAGATTTACAACCAAATTTTCCACTCTGTTACTCAAAGTGATAGCTTACACACTGCAAAAACACAAAATCTTACCAAGTATTTTTAGTCTAGTTTCTTGCACACTTAAAACAAGACAAAATCAACTGACAAGTAACTTTTCACCAAGAAATAGCTTATTTCAAGTTATATTTCTTAATAACACTGGAAAAAGTACTAGTTACTTTGGCAAATTATTTCACTTACAACATGGGAAAAATATCTTATTATGAGTGAAATAATGCGCCAATGGAACAAGTACTTTTTAAATCAATTTTAAGGAATTATTTACTTAAAACAAGCTCGTATATCTCCCTGAAAAGTTACTTGTAAGTTATTTTTGTCTAATTTCAAGGGTACTAAGATATTTTCAGTAGAAACTAGACCAAAAATACTTGGTACCATATGGATATATAAGATAAAGCAGCATAATTCCCCACTACACTGCAAAAACACAAAATCTCACCAACTATTTTTGCTCTAATTTCTATTGCATGTATCTTAGTAAACTTGAAATAAGACAAAACTAACTTAAAAGTAACTTTGTAGCTTGATATAGAGCTTCAGTTAAGTAAACAATCCCTTAATATTGACGATAAAAGTTCTAGTTCCACAATCAACTGGCACTCTGCCGTTACCTAGCAACACCAGCCATGCCCAGCCCGTCTCCTAGCAACCCAGTTCTAGTTCCATTGGCAGATTATTTCACTTATCACTTTTTCCCCATGTTATAAGTTTAACAATCTGCCAATGTAACTAGCATGTTTTCATCAATATTAAGGAATTATTTACGTAAAACGAGCCTCTACACATCTTGGTAAAAAGTTACTTTTAAGTTAGTTTGTCTTATTTCAACTGTACTAAGATGTTTGCACTAAAAACTAGACCAAATTCACTTGGTAAGATTTTATGTTTCTGCAGTGTAGCAATTGGGAATGGAAGTAGTTTAGGTGATTGATTGACTTCCCAAAGCTTTCAGCTAATTTTTGACTAAAACGGCAAAAAGCGGCACTTACTGGCTCTTCCAGTGTAACACACATTAGAGGTGGAGGGGCAGGTCTCATTGACGGCGTTCAAGCAGTTCCCCAACAGACTGAAGGAGCACTTGTTGCATGACAGGGACTCCACTGAAACAGAAGAAAGAGTTTTACTCAAACATCAGGAAAGTGCAGAGAAAACTGTGACTCAGCTGGGATAAAGGAGACACCAAATGTTTGCCTTCATTCAAAATGTAGTTTTTCTGATGCAATATCCTGTTGACTACACCCGGATGTAATTTGCAAAACCTGCTAAACTCCCAGTGAAGCAATGTTGCTGATGCTGAAGTATTTGAAGACTGCAGATGTGAATTTCTCAATGAGATAAACATGTAAAATGGGTCGCATTAGTGATAATTTAGCCTGATTTGAACATTGTTTGGTCATTTTATGTATCCCCCTTGTAAGATCAAAGAAACTGGCTAATCATGACTTTGATAGTGTATTTATAAAATACAAACATATTTAAAAAAAATAGTTACTACTACAATAATGATCAAGTTTATTAATTAATATATCTTTTGTCATTTAAATACAATGTTCCTGTAATGTTTAAGTGAACACAACTTTTCTTACCCAACACCAGAGATGCAACAGCTGCAACAACAGCAAAAACAAACTTTCCCATCTTGGTTTTGTAGATTTCACTCTTGGTTTCTGCCCAAAAAATCGTCCTCCTCCCTCTAGAGGCCTGAAGCTTCTCTCTTCCAGGTGACTGGGCTTTCCAGTGGGCCTGAAATGGTGAGCCTGTCGCCGAGGACGAAGGCTTATATGAGGTGAGGGGTGAGGGTGCGGTGGACTGGAGGGGTTTTTCAGGTCTTTTGAGTTTCGCCTTAACGGAAAGAAAAGGTGGGGAGGAGTGGAAACCGAGACCGGGACAGCCAGGAGGGATTCCGGTTGTTGATTTGGTGGTTTTCACTGTTTAAATTTTTTTTTTTTCTAAATGCGTTAAGAGAAACAATTAAGGCAGAGCTAGTAATCAACAAAACCTTCCTTTAATTTACGTTTTACTTGCATATTTTTTCAGAAGTTTCACATCATTCCTCTTCCAAAAGATTGTGACCTTTGACCTTTTAGCAGCTTAACTCTGGGCTGCAGAACCAGTTGGTCATTCGCTGGACTCCATTGTTTGGATTTTTATTGTAATTTTCCAGGACGATTTTTCATCTGTGCATTCAGTAAAGCTTCATAATCACTGAACTGAAGTTGTGATGCATAACTTCAGAAATTCAGATATTCAGAAAATAATAAACTTAGGCCCCGTTTACACGACAACGATTTCTGGTGAAAATGGAAGAGTTTTGTTGCGTTTGCACTGTACATTTACACAAAACCACCGAATGTTTTCTCTGACAGCGGCACAGATTGAAAACGGGTTCCAGAGTGCGATGTTGCTGAAACGTACCGATGTCCATTGTCTTGTAAACAGGATCAATGGATCTTTTATGTCAGGGAATCCCCAGCTTATGCATAGTATGAAGCAAAACATAGCTGCTTCCTACAATCCACAGAAGAAGAAGAAACTACTGATGATGCTGGTGTTAATACAATTCGTGTTTCCCCATCAGATACGGTTCCCTCAGCGTCTCTTCACTGCTCCGCACCACCCAGGTGGCAAAATACACGGCTGCTTGTTCAGCCTCTTATCTAGAGAAGCTCAAACAAGGTGTTTCAGCAAAGTTATCCTACTTTACTCCAAATGCGCCCTAATCAGACGCACACAATGCGTGTTTTCCCCCAGTCTATGGGGGAACGGTACCTGATGGGGAAACGCGAATCGTCATACTTTCACGTAGGACTTTTTTTTTAACACATGCACTTAGTTTCAAACAACCTAGCACCACCTAGTGGCGTGGCGAGAGCATTACACCTTTTCGATGCGTGCCATCACTGTGTAAGCAAAGATTGTAATTAGAACGGAACAAAAATTCTGTTTTCATTGGATCATTGTTGTGTAAACAGGGCTTTATTCTAACAAACAAAAATATTTTTGTGCGATCTATGCAAAATTCACATTTTGCATGAATCATGAATTATGCATAAATTTTGTACTTCCATTTGGCTCTTCTCTGCTTCTAAAAACTGCCCAACCATTTGCTGTGTGTCGTTTTTGGCATAAAGTTGATGTGTTTTTTGTTTTTTTGGGGGGGGGGTTTTTGAGCGATTTCAGAAACATAACGTCCCAATTCAGCAAGCACTGCCCCTCACCTAGCGACCCCAGCAAACCCCAGCCTGTTAAAGACAACAAAGTGTTTTGTTGTTGACTTACCATCCATTTGCTGCATTATTGTCGATTGTGCAGGAGGCTCTCCTAATTCTTTTCAAAGTCTAAAAGTTTAGTTGGGGGAGTGGCCAGAAGCAGCTTGTTTGGATTTAAAGTGATAGGATGCCTTAAAACAGCTCATTCTGAAAGGACTAAAATCTCATTATCTAAGAATGATTTTTTGCTTTCTTTGTATTTTTCACCATTAGCATGGTAATTGCACATATTTCTGATATTCTAAGTATTTATTTAGTAAGGTCCAAAAGTATCTTTGGGTGTAGAGCTCTTTTGTGCAAAATGGCCACACAAAAAAAGTACTAATTGACAATGGACACAGTTTTTTCCAGATATTTTCTTTATTTTGCCATTGGCAAATTTGTCAGATAATACATAAAGGAGTTAGTGGACTAATTACATTTAATTAAACAAGTCACAAAACAGTATAATGGAAAATTAAGCTCAATGTTTCGACGAAACATCCCATTGTTCAACTTCCATAATAATCTGAACCTTCATCTAATTTTAAGTTACATGATGGAAGGATAAAAGCTGTTTAAGGACAAGATTTGGATTTGTTTCTTTGTAACATTAATCAAATAAGTAGGAGTAGTGAAGAGCAGTGGATACTGTCTGTAATTCCATTACAAAAAGCTTCCCCACATGGAGGCCATGGCGGCTCCAACCATGGTCACAAGGAACGTCATCTTCAGGTCTGGTGCAGCACCTGTGAGGTCCACGGTGTTACATTTATCTGTATCACAGCAGGCTACGTCAGTTTTGATTTGGACGCTCAGGATTGTTGACGAGTTGCTGATGCCACAGATAGTGTCATTAGCCCTGCAGCCCTGCCTGATCACACCCTTGAAAGATGTGAGGGCTGGAAAATCTGTGGAGCAACAGTGGACATGGGTTAGTCACTGATATTGCTTAACTACTGGAAATAATTATCTTATTTATTTATTTATTTATTACTATTTCTGCCTACTGCTGTGGCTTTTCACCCTACTATAGTTTCTTCCACCTTGAGGCGTGACGTCACACGCGCAAGATCCCGCCCCCATTTTACTGCTGGCTGAGTAGCATTGATTTTATCTGTTAAATTATCGATGTAACGCGATAAATCTTGAATGTACGCTTGATCTATAAAAGAAAAAGAGATGCAGTGTTTTGCTACTAATTGTCAACACTTCAACAACTGGATGACAAGGTCAGGAAAAAGTTTTAATTAAGACAAAAATTGCGAGGGAGAGGGAAGTAGTTCAGTTATTCATTCATTGAGTTGTTTTGGTTTAGTTACAAAATAAATAAAAAAAGGCGACCCTCATACTAGAGCAGATGTTTCAGTTAGCTAATCAACCACCGCAGTGTTAGATTAGATAATAGCAGCGGTAGCTAATCCGCCACGAACATCAAGCCTAAAAACATAATGCTGTAACCGACTGAATGTTATGTTCTGTATTACGGAGCCCTCCAGGGAACATGGGAATTTTTTTCTTTTGCTTTTCCTCGCAGTAATCTACTGATCAGTTCATGGGGCATAATTGAATACTGTAAGCCTTTCTTACATGTTTGAGTGTTTTTGTTGTTGTTTTTTTTGTGTGTGTGTCTAATCCTGAAACATTAAGTGGCGTTGTTTCAGTTTCTATGGCAACGAGTCTTCGTGTAACGTAGCCGACCCAGAGAGTGAGGAGGGGACGAAGTGGTTTTGAGTTCTTTAACAGTTTTTCTGCATTATTTCTTCCCCTTTGCTGTGGCGCACTGCACTGTATGAATCATACCCACATCTCCAGGTTTCATTTACTTAATGGAGTCATTCTACCACGGCAGCGCGGCTACGAATAGCAGGTGAAAGAAACGTCTTTTTTCTTGCCAGAGTTTTGCGCATGCGCAAAATTTGCCTCCTTTTTAAGTTGGCTTGGCACCAAAACAATCACTTAACCATAAAGACGACACAACTGTCATTTCCAAGGGAAAGGATAGGCTTTTTTTTACATATGCTACTAATGACTAAATGTTAAACTCAACATAAAATAATATAACTCATCAGTAATAATACTTATTAAATTAATTCAATCACTTCCCTGTCCAGATAGTTTAAAAAAAACCCATATTTTTAAGTGTTTAAAGAATTAAAGTGACAGAAAAGTGATAAAGAGTGAACTTACAGAACTTCTCTGTGTAACAGGTCTCGTTTGCGGCACAAGTGGGTTGGCTACTACTCAGGCAGAAGCCGAGGAGACTGATGGAGCATTGGTTGCACGTCAGAGACTCCACTGAAAAAAAACAAGTATACAGTAAGAAATAGAGTTATAAGAAGAACTCTTTTTAAAGTAACTTAAAATAATTAGAAATGCTCATTAAACAATCCATTGCAATCTGTATTGATCAAGTCTACACACAGCCTTATTCTTTCAGATGTGTAATTTTAACCATTTTAATTCAGTTATTACTTTTTGACAGATGGCATTTGTGTTCATTGTTGCACTTTTGACTTTGATTCAATCAAAAACCTCTTAAGCTATGCCATATTTTGTGGCTTTACTTCGTAGCATAAACACATAATATTTAGTACAGCAGAAGTAGATCCAAAAATGAGTGTTTTTACTCATTTTTGATCTTTTACCTCCATTTGATTCTTTTGAAGATTCAGTGGAGATTAGAATTAGTTCGGACCCCAAATTGATCGTTTACCTTCCCTGTAGGTTGGCAGAAATGTTTTAAAAATTAAGATGTAAATAAGGAAACTTAAGGAAAGTTTTTATGACTCTTTAAACCGTCCAGAAACTTCCATTCATCCCTTAAATGTGAATCTATTCAAAGTAACTTGAACTCTTGGAACCAGTTGGCCCTGTTTCACAGTCCAGTTGATCCCAACAATTAAAATCGAGTTGCTACATCATCATCACTTTACTGGATTTTGGTTTTACAGCTGGAAAATTCCTGTTAACAGAATGCTGTCACCAATAAAAAATGAGGCCCAGTGAGGCTGCAGAAACCTGCCGGGAAAATTGCGTCACTGCTGCTGCTGGAGTGAAATGTTTAAAAATATGTTCACTACTGTTGGGTCTCGTCGGGGTACGTCAGTTCACAACAAAGTTATTGTACAACAGTTTCTCTTTGTTCTGTTTTTGGAAAAAAAGAAGAGTTAAAATGAAAAAAAAGATTAATTTTGTACTAATTTCCTAAAGTCTGGAAGATGTTTTATCAGATTGTGAGTTGCTTTTGTGGGATTCTGCTATCCTGTTTGCCATTTGTGACAAATGTTTTTTTAGCATGAAGAAAATTTTCTCTGAAAACACAAAACCTAAAAATAAAAACATAATAACAGAAGGTGTTTCTTTGTTTATTTCTGTTGCATATTTAGTACAACAGAGTATTACGGCTATGCTAAGAAAATAAAAATAATACAATTATGAGATTAAACTCATACAAGAATTAAGTCATAATATTATGAGAATAAAGTCAAAATAATAAATAATATCCAAGTTCAAAAATACTTTATTAATCCCTAAGGGAAATTAAATGTTGTTGTAACTCATTAATTAAGATTCGTCAGAGTTATTGTAGATGATGGAGGCTATTGGCAGGAAAAATCTGTAGCAGTCTGTGTTATAGTAAATCTGAAGAAGCTTCTGACTGAAGATATTCTGCGTTCCCAAGACAGAACATCTACCTTAGTTGTCCATAATCTTTGTGATTTTATGAAGAATCCTTCTTTGCACCGTTATCTCCAGAGATTCCTCAGAGGGTTAGAGTTCAGAACCAGAACCAGAACAGAACCTGCCTTCTTTATGAGGCCGTTGAGCCTCGTAGGTCCCTGGTTCTGATGTTGCTGCTCTAGCAGATGACGCAAAAGAGAGGACGCTCAAGAACAGATTTATAGAAGATCTCCAGCATCTTGCTGCAAACCTTGAAGGATCTTTGCTTCCTCCAGAAGTCCAGTCTGTCCTGTCCCTTATAGTCGGCTTCACTGTTGCGTTTCCGGTCTGTTGTCAAGGCGAACACGGAGGTATTCCTCTACAACCTCCTCTTCTTCTCCCATGATTGATCTTACTATGTTCCTCCTGAAATGAACAATCATCTCCTTTGTTTTGTTCACATTTAAGCTGAGATGACCGTTCCTTCCGTGGCACCAAGCGGTCCGGCAGCTCTCTGTACTCGGCCTCTTGTCCATCTCTGATAACCCGACAACTGCAGAGTCATGACTATTTCTGTAGATGGCAGAGGTCAGACTGGTGCCTGAAGTCTTTAGTGTTTATCTCTAGTGAATGAAATGTCTGCCCATTCTTCTTTGCGAAACAGCTGAAGCTCAGACAGAGTCGATGGAGAGCATTGGTGAACATCAGTTCTCAGATCTTAGAACAGATTCTCAGTTGGATTTAAGTCTGGGCTTTGAATGAGCCATTGTAACATATTACACTGTGAAGTTCCTCTTAACCAACTTCTCTTAACTCTGTTCAGTCATTAGCAATCATCAGGCAACTTCTGAAGGCTATAGGTTGCATTCAGAGAAAAGAGGACTGAATAATTTTTCACATTGTGCTTTTCAGTTTTGTATTTGTTAAAAGGATTTGAATCATGTATAATTTTTCACAGTTGTCTACCACTTTGTGTTGATCTTTCACATCAAATTCCAATGAAATATATTTACATTTGTGGTTGTAATGAGAGAAAATATGGAAAAGTTCAAGGTGTATGAAGACTTTGGCAAACAGCTCTAATCATCCCTCTGTGTAGATCAACTTAATGAAGTAAAAACTCATGAAAGGGGAACTTTAAGGATTTATTTCAGAAGGTTAAATACATTTAGACTGAAAAATATTCAAACCAGCATCATGAAAGATTTACGAGCTCAACGTTTCCTCAAAACATCCCATTGATCAACTTCCATGATCTGACAAGAACAAAGCCTGAACTTATGAATCAGTGGGTTTATTGCTTATAGATTTACATTGGACAGGGATTTAGCTTGGGAAGCTACATGTAGCCGGTAGCGTGGTGTAATCTGATTACAACATGGTGTAATCTGATTACAACATGCTTCCCAGGACGGAGGCCAGGACGGCGCCGGTGATGGCGGCGGACATCTTGGCCGGTGCGGCGCTGGTGATGGTGACGGTGTTGCACCGGTCCGAACCGCAGCAGGAGATCTCAGTGTTGTAGGAGACGCCCAGCAGAGATGATGTCGTCGTTTTGTTGCAGGTTACATCGTTCAGACTGCAGCCCTGGATGCTGAAGCCAGCAAAGCCTGTGATGGCAGGAAAAGCTGCAGAGAAACATTAGAGATTTGCGTTAGTTTTGTTCCACCAACCCTGTTGGGTTACTGCAGGTTGCACTTACTTGCTTTTCCAGTGTAGCAGACGGTTTCGTTGACGCCACACGTCATGTTAGCCGCGTTCAAGCAGAAGCCAAACACGCTAACCGAGCATTTGTTGCAGATCAGCGACTCCACTGAAACAGACACATAAACGAATGAGAGCTTAATTAAAACCTTAAATAACAAGTACCAAAGAGTAAAAATATATTTTCTTCATTTCATGCAGACATTTTCCAGCTTCAGCTGTTTTGACCTTTTTGGGAAACTTTCTTACACTCAATATTTAAAGTCTTTTGTATTATTTTACAGGAAATTAGTTTTGTATTATTTACAGGAAATGAAGATGTGATATTTCACTGCGGCAACCAAGATGCAACAGGAATTTTTTCAGATGATTTTTCCTCTTAAATTAAGATTTTATTAATCCATTGGAAGCTCTGCTGAATAATAACATAAGTAGGTTTTGATTTTGAGAAGCTGCTGTTTGCACTAGTTTGAAATTAACTTTTATTGTGTTTCTATTGGCAGTGTGATGGCCGCAGCTGATTGGTTCCTGGAGGCTGCAGAGCGACGCCATTGGACAACGACCTGGCCAATCAGACGCTGACGAGGCCCCCAAGCACCCAGTGAGGATTTGTACATTTTATTTGCTCTGAGCAGCTTTAACATATTTTAAGCTCCTGATCGACTCTGATCAATCTAGAAGTTTGTGTTTGGAAGGTTTGGTAGTGATTACTGTATTTTTTGGGGGTTGTTTTGAATTTAGTTTATTATTTATTTATTTATAAACTTATTATGCATTAGTTTATTTTTGTCTAATTGCTGGTGTTGAACTTAACCCTCTTTAGTTTTGTTAATCCTATTATTTTTTTCTGTTTTGTTTGTGAAACCTTTTTTTTTAATAAACCATTATTTAAACTTGGGCATGGGGGAATACCATTTTTAAAATGTATAAACATATTCAACAGTATACCGTTTTATATTGTTGATAAAGAGAGAAAGAAAGGCCAGTAGAAAAAGCTCTGGCTACAAACAAACAAGGTTTCAAAAACAAAACAAAGTACACCTGAACCCAATGAAATATATAAAATATGAGATTTTTTCCACTGATATGTTACTGGATTGGACCATTGCCTGTTAGCCGCTACAGCTAACATCGTCAGTCTATAAAATATGCCTTAATTTAAGTTTGAGAAAATTGTTTATAATCTGTAAACAGTTTTGTTTCAGTCAAGATGTAAAAGAGGACTAAGCAAATTTCTCTTTTAGATTGATTAATAATTTAACTTTACATAATTGCAGCTTTTGGAGCCAAAGTTTGTTGAAATGTAACCATTCTCTTTTCTTTTTATAATTGGAAGAAAATTAGCTTAATTTTGATTGCGTTGGATTACTTTTCTTTGTTCGAGATTTAAAAATACAGCGACCATCTAGTGGCATGGCAGGAGAAAGTAATTTTTACAATTACCTTATTATTATTCATAATCTTTATTTTTACAAGAACGATTAATTGAACATGCATTTCCTAGAATACAGGAAACAAGTTCAAGTCTGAAAATCTTTCTGCATCTTCTTTTTTTTAAGATGCCTTCAAACATTGGTAATTATTTTTAAGTAGAATATAATTAATTATTACCCAAAGCAAAGGATGCGATGGCCACAACAGCAGCAAAAAGGAGCTTTCCCATCTCTACTTCTTGGTTTGCTTTCTGGTTTCCTCAAAGGCAGTAGATCCTATCAGGTGAGGCTGAAGTCTTTGTTCCTCAGGTAACAAGCTGCTGCGAGATTTCAGGAGTGATGAGACTGAAAGCAAAGTCAGTTATTTATATAAACAAACATGAAGGGTGGGGACGTTACGGTGTTGGACCCTCAAAAGAGGACAAACTCTAGGATTGGTGAGAAGCTTGAAAAATGTGCAGAGGAACTCCTACTTATTCTGCTTTGGTATTTCTCTTACAGTACCATTATCTTGTACTGAGAGAATCCAAACACACACAAGATTACTGTCCCAGGTTATAGGACAGTGTGGTTTGCTTAAACAAATAGACGTTTGTTTAATATTTATTATGCAAATAAATGTACACATGAACTGGGCAACGAATTCATGTGGGTTTTATCCAGTCACTCCGTGTAACTTGGCAGCAAAGATGGAAGGATATTTAAAAACATACTCAAAAACACAAAATCCTACAAAATATTCTGGTTCAGTTTATAGTGCAAATATTTTAGTCTACTTGAAATAAGACAAAACTAACTTATTTAACTTTAACTAAGTTAAGTAAGTTAGTTTTAAGTTAATAATTCCTTAGTATTAATAAAACAGTTCTAGTTCCACTGGGAGATTGTTAAATTTATAACAAGACAATTTTCTCATGTTTTCAGTGAAATAATCTGCCAGTGGAACTAGAACTCGGTTGCTAGGTGACAACCTCGGTCACCGAGGTGAATGGCTGCTGTTGCTAGGTAACGGCGGAACTATCACTTTTTCATTAATATTAAGCAATTGTTTACTTAAAACAAGCTGCTATGTCTTGCTCAAAAGTTACTTGTAAGTTAGTTTTGCCTTATTTCAAGAGTAGTAAGATGTTTACACTAGACCAAGTACTTGGTAAGACTTTGTGTTTGTTTTTTGTGGATTTTATTTCACTGAAGCGCTATGTAAATTGATGATTCAACTTGCTAGCTAGCCAGCGATTTTAAAGGTGCAAAAATCTAAGCTTTCTTGATTTTTAAAACCTATTAAATCAAGATAAGAGTTTTTTTAAGCTGTGCAGAAATCTTGATCCTCCCCCCAAATCTGAAGCTATTCCAAATATCTGGACGAACTTTGCAGAAGTTTTACTTATGGCCGTCAAAACCTTTTCTGACATTCCTGTTGTTCTATTCACTTCATTTCAGTTTGTTTATTTACCACAATCTCTCAGCAAATGTCAAGTCTACATAAAAAGACACACATATTCCAATTAATCCTGGCTATCAAACAGCACATTAAGCTAGTTTAATATTCAAATGACTTTAAAAATTGTTGTTTTTTTGTCTAAGGAATCCCAGTTATTGACCTGCAGCAGCGTTCAGTTCTCACATAGCGACAGCCGACAATCGCTTGTTGACAGCAGAGCTCTGCTGTTTCTTTTCTTGGTTTGAGGCTTCAGATACAACAATACACTCCCTTTTAACTGAATCCTGTCATCGGGTTTAAAGAAAAACGAGCTGCAGCCGTTCTTCATAAACCTGCTGGTCCAACTGGAATACAGGCGACAGAGTAAACATAACTGGTTACATTTACTTCAATCAATCAGCTTTATCTGTAAAGCACATTTACAAAACAAGGCATTTCAAACTGCTTTAATGACTTTGTATTTCTGTGTTTTTATCATTTAAAGCAGTTTGAAATGCCTTGTTTTGTAAATGTGCTTTACAGATAAGCATTTCTTTTTGTCAGACTGTTGATTAATGTTTCCTTTACTACAGTAACTCTTTTTGAAAAAATAACTTTTTACTATGCTGTACTTTTTTACTTTTACTTGAGTAATTTTATTATGACGTATCTCTACTCTTACTTGAGTAAAATTTCTGGATTTTCTACCCACTGAATGAAAAACAAATCTATTTTAACCACACGCAAAGAAAACCTGCAGTTTCATAAGTGTTTTCTTGATTTGGGGAAATTATTTTTTACCTGATTTTATTTTTTTGTAATTTTGATCCTTAAAATACCAAAATTTCCACTTTATACTTTGTTCCATCTGATGATGTAATTTTAAATATTTAATAACTGATAATTTGATCAGTTACTCAGTTCTTGATTAGAATTTTTACCAAATTCTTTTTTTACTCTTACTTGAGTTCTGTCACCTCTGACCTCTGGCGGGTTCAGATTCTTTCACACAAACGGACCTAAAAAACATCTACAGAAACAACAAACACCTGGCCTGATGTTTCTTAGGTCCAATAAAAGAATGAATCAACATGTACTGCTTGGTAAAAGCATCAGAACCAGCTGGACCCAATCTGCATGCCTCAGGTCTGAGACGTTCTCCAAAAAACGTAATCTTGTAGAAACTCCCCATCATCCCTGCTGTTGACTTCAAGTCAAGTAAATTAATCAGAGTCAAAAACTTTTAAGTATTTATGTAGATATTTACTTTATTTTGTCATTCCGAGAAGGATAAATAACTATGATTAAGCAAAACAAACCAACATCAATTAAGATTTACAATGTCAAAGATCCCATTGATAATCTGATGAGAACAAAAACTAAACATATAAATGAGTAGACTTATTGCTTATAGATTTACACTGGATAGCGGTGACAGGGGTTTAGCTTGAGAAGCTACATGTAGCCGGTTGTGTGGTGTAATCTGATTACAACATGGTGTAATCTGATTACAACATGCTTCCCAGGACGGAGGCCAGGATGGCGCCGGTGATGGCGGCAGACATCTTGGCCGGTGCGGCGCTGGTGATGGTGACGGGGTTGCACCGGTCCGTGCTGCAGCAGGCGATCGTGGTGTTGTAGGAGACGCCCAGCAGAGATGATGTACTGGTTCTGTTGCAGCTAGTGTCGTTCACCCTGCAGCCCTGGTTGCTGATGCCACCAAAGCCTGTTATTGGAAAACCTGCGGAGGAAACGTAAAGTTTAGCATTAATTTTGAATCATCAACCGGTAAAAATAAGCTAAATAAGAAAGTTACTCACTTGCTTTCCCGGTGTAGCAGACGGTGTCGTTCCCGGTGCAGGTCTCGTTGGAGGAGTTCAAGCAGAAGCCAAACACGCTAGCGGAGCATTTGTTGCAGATCAACGACTCCACTGAAACAGACACAGAAACATAACAGTTTAATTAAAAACTTAATATCTACCATTAAGAAAAGCTTCAGCCTTCATGGGAAATGATGCTGATTTGAAATAAGGCTTGTTCCTAGCCCTATAGTGTCATTGGTATTTCCTCCAAATATCCGGCAGGCCGCTCCTTAATTTGAGGTGCGGTGAAGTGACGTCATCTGATACCTTTCACACATTTTACACAAAGCAGTTTCAATAAGATGTAGAAGCTCTACTTACTAAAGTTCGTTTTCGTGTTTCTTTTCTTTTTTAGTTAAACTTGTTTTGACACAGTGAAGCTGGAAGGAAATTAAATTCATCCTGATTGCATCTGGTGAATTACTTTTCTTTCTTTGAGTTTAAAGAATATTCTCGGACACTAAAATAAGACGGTTAACTTTCCTGATTATTGTTCATAACTTTGCATTGTTGTAAACATAGGAAACAGTCAAATTCAAGTTTTAAACATATCTTTTTTTAAAATAAAATTAAAAATTAAAAAAAGCAGTTTTTTTCCTGCCTACAAACATGACAAATTTGTGTTTTACTAGAATAAGTAATTATTACCCAAAGCAAGGGATGCGATGGCCACAACAACGGCAAAAAGGAGCTTTCCCATCTCTGTTTGCTTCCTGGTTCAGGTCCTTGAGGCCAGAAGGTATTTCTCCGTCAGGTAACAAGCTGCTGCTGCTAGACGTCAGAGGTGATGAGACTGGAAGCAAAGTCAGAGATTTATATGTACACCCATGAAGGGTGGGGACGTTATGGGGTGTGGAGCCTCGTAATGAGACAGAAATTAAAATTTTTTTGGCTTTGTTAGAAGTTTTTAAAAATGTTCAGGGACTTGACCTAATTTTTCTTTGGTATTTTCGCTGCAGTGTAATTATTTTGTCCTGAGAAAATCCCAAAATACCCGAGATTACTGCCTCAAAATTTTTGTCAAACATGGTTTCTTTAAAACAAAACAACAAAAAAAACAATAATTTATGGCTTAATATTTTATTTCCGTTTTAAAAAGTGTATATTTATGCTAAGATGGATCGGTTTATAGCGCATTCATTATTTTCTGTTTTGTTTTGAAGGTTTTTTAGTGGATATTACTCATTCAGTCTCTTCGTAGATTGATCATTGAGCAGCAGTAAAAATGTAAATGTAAACATTGGAATTAAATCTGATATTTCAGGAGTTTTTAAGGCCTAAAAGACATTTTAGGCTGAGCAGGAACATTTATCCTTCTATGAAACCTGAAGCTATTGTAAGAAACGATCTTTGCTATATGGAAAACCAGTTGGTCTTGTCAGGTGTTCATAATTACACCATTCAGAAATTAACAAGTAAAATCAGACAAAAGCACAATGGCATGAACATCACCACTGTATTGACAGGCAGGTTTATTGTTTCTTTACTTGGTTTTTGGCCACAGCTGAAATGCTGCGCTGCCTTTAACCTCAGCGCTGTTATCAGGAAAACATTTATAAATCTGATCTTTTCTCCCTTCAGAGTCAGAATCAGAGCATCTCAGGCCCCAGTTACACATTTTAAGTTATTAGTTTCTTACTTTCAACCTAAACTGTTGTTTGTTTTGTTTTTGAGAAAAGAAGAGATGATTGTGATGTTTGGTGAGATTCTGGGTTAAATTTGTTGGATCCTGTAAAAATATTTCTTCCATTCCTAACAAATATTTACTTTGCATGCAGAAACTTTGATCTGAAACAGTGACAGAGACACATCAGGTGCAGATGGCCTGTTAAATTATCCTGATGTTTTGTATCTAAACCGTCTGGTGGGAAGAAATGGTCCCAATAAAAGTTATCTCTGAGCCAGAGTCACTTTTCCTAGATGCTGCAAACTGTGTAGCAGAATCTAAATGAGATCTTGGATCTTAATGAGACAATCTGTATTTTAAAAAGCTAAATATAATTAATAAATAATTATATTTATTAATCAGAGTTTCAGGATGTGAAAACGATCTCCAATGAAAACACAACTTTTGGAAACCAAAGAAAGTTTCCCACCTTCGTTTAGTTTTTTCTTTCTTTCTGTTGTATATTTTGCAGATTTTAATGCTACATCTAATTTTACTGAACTATTATGGCTTTTTTTAATGTTTTCTCTTTGTTGGACTCATTTGTAAAGCTGCAAATAAACTAAATCAAAAGTAATGTACGAGTTTGAAAATTGCTGAATCCTGCAGATTAAATTAACTTTAAAAAAGTGAGGATATTTTTTTATGCATTCTCCATTTATTTGGACTTTAAAAAGTTATTAACTCCCCAACAATCAAGTTAAGTAAAGTAAGTTTATGAAACTGAGACTTTTAGGATTTATGTAGAGATTTATTTTATTTCAGAAGGTTAAATACATTTAGACTGAAAAATATTCAAACCAGCANATTTCAAGAGTAGTAAGATGTTTACACTAGACCAAGTACTTGGTAAGACTTTGTGTTTGTTTTTTGTGGATTTTATTTCACTGAAGCGCTATGTAAATTGATGATTCAACTTGCTAGCTAGCCAGCGATTTTAAAGGTGCAAAAATCTAAGCTTTCTTGATTTTTAAAACCTATTAAATCAAGATAAGAGTTTTTTTAAGCTGTGCAGAAATCTTGATCCTCCCCCCAAATCTGAAGCTATTCCAAATATCTGGACGAACTTTGCAGAAGTTTTACTTATGGCCGTCAAAACCTTTTCTGACATTCCTGTTGTTCTATTCACTTCATTTCAGTTTGTTTATTTACCACAATCTCTCAGCAAATGTCAAGTCTACATAAAAAGACACACATATTCCAATTAATCCTGGCTATCAAACAGCACATTAAGCTAGTTTAATATTCAAATGACTTTAAAAATTGTTGTTTTTTTGTCTAAGGAATCCCAGTTATTGACCTGCAGCAGCGTTCAGTTCTCACATAGCGACAGCCGACAATCGCTTGTTGACAGCAGAGCTCTGCTGTTTCTTTTCTTGGTTTGAGGCTTCAGATACAACAATACACTCCCTTTTAACTGAATCCTGTCATCGGGTTTAAAGAAAAACGAGCTGCAGCCGTTCTTCATAAACCTGCTGGTCCAACTGGAATACAGGCGACAGAGTAAACATAACTGGTTACATTTACTTCAATCAATCAGCTTTATCTGTAAAGCACATTTACAAAACAAGGCATTTCAAACTGCTTTAATGACTTTGTATTTCTGTGTTTTTATCATTTAAAGCAGTTTGAAATGCCTTGTTTTGTAAATGTGCTTTACAGATAAGCATTTCTTTTTGTCAGACTGTTGATTAATGTTTCCTTTACTACAGTAACTCTTTTTGAAAAAATAACTTTTTACTATGCTGTACTTTTTTACTTTTACTTGAGTAATTTTATTATGACGTATCTCTACTCTTACTTGAGTAAAATTTCTGGATTTTCTACCCACTGAATGAAAAACAAATCTATTTTAACCACACGCAAAGAAAACCTGCAGTTTCATAAGTGTTTTCTTGATTTGGGGAAATTATTTTTTACCTGATTTTATTTTTTTGTAATTTTGATCCTTAAAATACCAAAATTTCCACTTTATACTTTGTTCCATCTGATGATGTAATTTTAAATATTTAATAACTGATAATTTGATCAGTTACTCAGTTCTTGATTAGAATTTTTACCAAATTCTTTTTTTACTCTTACTTGAGTTCTGTCACCTCTGACCTCTGGCGGGTTCAGATTCTTTCACACAAACGGACCTAAAAAACATCTACAGAAACAACAAACACCTGGCCTGATGTTTCTTAGGTCCAATAAAAGAATGAATCAACATGTACTGCTTGGTAAAAGCATCAGAACCAGCTGGACCCAATCTGCATGCCTCAGGTCTGAGACGTTCTCCAAAAAACGTAATCTTGTAGAAACTCCCCATCATCCCTGCTGTTGACTTCAAGTCAAGTAAATTAATCAGAGTCAAAAACTTTTAAGTATTTATGTAGATATTTACTTTATTTTGTCATTCCGAGAAGGATAAATAACTATGATTAAGCAAAACAAACCAACATCAATTAAGATTTACAATGTCAAAGATCCCATTGATAATCTGATGAGAACAAAAACTAAACATATAAATGAGTAGACTTATTGCTTATAGATTTACACTGGATAGCGGTGACAGGGGTTTAGCTTGAGAAGCTACATGTAGCCGGTTGTGTGGTGTAATCTGATTACAACATGGTGTAATCTGATTACAACATGGTGTAATCTGATTACAACATGCTTCCCAGGACGGAGGCCAGGATGGCGCCGGTGATGGCGGCAGACATCTTGGCCGGTGCGGCGCTGGTGATGGTGACGGGGTTGCACCGGTCCGTGCTGCAGCAGGCGATCGTGGTGTTGTAGGAGACGCCCAGCAGAGATGATGTACTGGTTCTGTTGCAGCTAGTGTCGTTCACCCTGCAGCCCTGGTTGCTGATGCCACCAAAGCCTGTTATTGGAAAACCTGCGGAGGAAACGTAAAGTTTAGCATTAATTTTGAATCATCAACCGGTAAAAATAAGCTAAATAAGAAAGTTACTCACTTGCTTTCCCGGTGTAGCAGACGGTGTCGTTCCCGGTGCAGGTCTCGTTGGAGGAGTTCAAGCAGAAGCCAAACACGCTAGCGGAGCATTTGTTGCAGATCAACGACTCCACTGAAACAGACACAGAAACATAACAGTTTAATTAAAAACTTAATATCTACCATTAAGAAAAGCTTCAGCCTTCATGGGAAATGATGCTGATTTGAAATAAGGCTTGTTCCTAGCCCTATAGTGTCATTGGTATTTCCTCCAAATATCCGGCAGGCCGCTCCTTAATTTGAGGTGCGGTGAAGTGACGTCATCTGATACCTTTCACACATTTTACACAAAGCAGTTTCAATAAGATGTAGAAGCTCTACTTACTAAAGTTCGTTTTCGTGTTTCTTTTCTTTTTTAGTTAAACTTGTTTTGACACAGTGAAGCTGGAAGGAAATTAAATTCATCCTGATTGCATCTGGTGAATTACTTTTCTTTCTTTGAGTTTAAAGAATATTCTCGGACACTAAAATAAGACGGTTAACTTTCCTGATTATTGTTCATAACTTTGCATTGTTGTAAACATAGGAAACAGTCAAATTCAAGTTTTAAACATATCTTTTTTTAAAATAAAATTAAAAATTAAAAAAAGCAGTTTTTTTCCTGCCTACAAACATGACAAATTTGTGTTTTACTAGAATAAGTAATTATTACCCAAAGCAAGGGATGCGATGGCCACAACAACGGCAAAAAGGAGCTTTCCCATCTCTGTTTGCTTCCTGGTTCAGGTCCTTGAGGCCAGAAGGTATTTCTCCGTCAGGTAACAAGCTGCTGCTGCTAGACGTCAGAGGTGATGAGACTGGAAGCAAAGTCAGAGATTTATATGTACACCCATGAAGGGTGGGGACGTTATGGGGTGTGGAGCCTCGTAATGAGACAGAAATTAAAATTTTTTTGGCTTTGTTAGAAGTTTTTAAAAATGTTCAGGGACTTGACCTAATTTTTCTTTGGTATTTTCGCTGCAGTGTAATTATTTTGTCCTGAGAAAATCCCAAAATACCCGAGATTACTGCCTCAAAATTTTTGTCAAACATGGTTTCTTTAAAACAAAACAACAAAAAAAACAATAATTTATGGCTTAATATTTTATTTCCGTTTTAAAAAGTGTATATTTATGCTAAGATGGATCGGTTTATAGCGCATTCATTATTTTCTGTTTTGTTTTGAAGGTTTTTTAGTGGATATTACTCATTCAGTCTCTTCGTAGATTGATCATTGAGCAGCAGTAAAAATGTAAATGTAAACATTGGAATTAAATCTGATATTTCAGGAGTTTTTAAGGCCTAAAAGACATTTTAGGCTGAGCAGGAACATTTATCCTTCTATGAAACCTGAAGCTATTGTAAGAAACGATCTTTGCTATATGGAAAACCAGTTGGTCTTGTCAGGTGTTCATAATTACACCATTCAGAAATTAACAAGTAAAATCAGACAAAAGCACAATGGCATGAACATCACCACTGTATTGACAGGCAGGTTTATTGTTTCTTTACTTGGTTTTTGGCCACAGCTGAAATGCTGCGCTGCCTTTAACCTCAGCGCTGTTATCAGGAAAACATTTATAAATCTGATCTTTTCTCCCTTCAGAGTCAGAATCAGAGCATCTCAGGCCCCAGTTACACATTTTAAGTTATTAGTTTCTTACTTTCAACCTAAACTGTTGTTTGTTTTGTTTTTGAGAAAAGAAGAGATGATTGTGATGTTTGGTGAGATTCTGGGTTAAATTTGTTGGATCCTGTAAAAATATTTCTTCCATTCCTAACAAATATTTACTTTGCATGCAGAAACTTTGATCTGAAACAGTGACAGAGACACATCAGGTGCAGATGGCCTGTTAAATTATCCTGATGTTTTGTATCTAAACCGTCTGGTGGGAAGAAATGGTCCCAATAAAAGTTATCTCTGAGCCAGAGTCACTTTTCCTAGATGCTGCAAACTGTGTAGCAGAATCTAAATGAGATCTTGGATCTTAATGAGACAATCTGTATTTTAAAAAGCTAAATATAATTAATAAATAATTATATTTATTAATCAGAGTTTCAGGATGTGAAAACGATCTCCAATGAAAACACAACTTTTGGAAACCAAAGAAAGTTTCCCACCTTCGTTTAGTTTTTTCTTTCTTTCTGTTGTATATTTTGCAGATTTTAATGCTACATCTAATTTTACTGAACTATTATGGCTTTTTTTAATGTTTTCTCTTTGTTGGACTCATTTGTAAAGCTGCAAATAAACTAAATCAAAAGTAATGTACGAGTTTGAAAATTGCTGAATCCTGCAGATTAAATTAACTTTAAAAAAGTGAGGATATTTTTTTATGCATTCTCCATTTATTTGGACTTTAAAAAGTTATTAACTCCCCAACAATCAAGTTAAGTAAAGTAAGTTTATGAAACTGAGACTTTTAGGATTTATGTAGAGATTTATTTTATTTCAGAAGGTTAAATACATTTAGACTGAAAAATATTCAAACCAGCACCATGAAAGATTTATGAGCTCAACGTTTCCTCGAAACATCCCATTGATCAACTTCCATGATCTGACGAGAACAAAGCCTGAACTTATGAATCAGTGGGTTTATTGCTTATAGATTTACATTGGACAGGGATTTAGCTTGGGAAGCTACATGTAGCCGGTAGCGTGGTGTAATCTGATTACAACATGGTGTAATCTGATTACAACATGCTTCCCAGGAAGGAGGCCAGGACGGCGCCGGTGATGGCGGCGCTGAAGGTCATCTTGGTGGTCGTGGCGCCGCTCAGCGTGACGGGGTTGCACCGGTCCGTGCTGCAGCAGGTGATCTCAGTGTTGTAGGAGACGCCCAGCAAAGACGATGTCGTCGTTTTGTTGCAGCTAGCGTCGTTCACCCTGCAGCCCTGGTTGCTGAAGCCGTTGAAACTCGTGATGGAAGGAAAAGCTGCAGGGAAAATGTGACGTTTTCATTAATTTTGTGTCAGAAAACCCTGATGTGAGTGTGGCGTTACTGCTAATCGTGAGCAAAACATTTTTTAAGCTTTAATAAGGTTACTGACTCGCTTTCCCGGTGTAGCAGACGGTGTCGTTCCCGGTGCAGGTCACGTTGGAGGAGTTCAAGCAGAAGCCGAAGACGCTAGCGGAGCATTTGTTGCAGATCAGTGAATCCACTGAAAAAGACACAGAAACATATTAAAGTTTAACTAAAACCTTAAACGTCAAAGAGTAGAAACATCAAGATTATCTTGTAGATCCTTGCTAACTTTAGCTTTTAGCTCTAAGAAATGCTTCATCGTCGATGAACATTTTATTCTCTTGTTGAAGTCTTAACTTTCTGATTTGAGGTGAAGTAAAAACAAGTAGAGTTTTGTGTGATGGTTTGAAATTAACTCTCACTGGTGGAGTTTAGTTTTAGCCCTTTATTGTTACTGGTTTCGCCTTAAAATGTCCGGCTGACTGCGCCTTAACGCGAGGTGTCGTCAAGCACCACCTCAATAACTGTTGGATAATATTTAATCTACATTTTGAAGCTCTGCAAACAAAACAAAGTGTATTTTCATTTTTATTTTCTTTGTTTTACTTTAAAACGTTGAGAAAAGTACATTTTCTCATCCCTACCTTTAGAAATGTGAGATCAGCTTATTAGTAATCCTTTAAAGACTCTGCTTGACCAAACCCTGATTTGAAGTGCAGCAGTTCAGCCTCACCCTCTGCACACATCAAATAGTGAGTAATCTGACATCTTTCAGGATTTTTCATTTTGCTAATATTTCCAGAAATTTCTACATGAAACTCTGCTACATATAAAGCTGAAGTGGATTATTTTTTTAAAAAAATCTGATTGTAAAATATCTTTATTCACAGCTGGTTTTAAAAGAAAATTATTCCTTCTACTTGTATTGATAGTTTAGAGTTTTGCTGCAGTCCTGCAGTGGTTTAATTTTGCATTGTGTTGAAATTTCTGGCTGCAAAAACACAAAATTTACCAAGTCATTTGGTTTAGTTTTTAGTCCAAATATCTTACCTCACTTGAAATAAGACAAAACTAACTCAAAAGTAACTATTGACCAAGATCCAGAGGCTTGTTTTAATAAATAATTCCTTATAATGTTGATGAAAATGTTCTAGTTCCACTGGCGCTGTTACCTAGCAACGGCAGCCAAGCCCAGCCCGTTGCCTAGCAACCCAGTTCTAGTTCCACTGGCTGATTATTTGCGATTATCTCGTTATCTCAGCCTGACTCTTGAACAAACGGATTCTTATTTTTCCAAACATTAACGCTCCAAACAGCACATTTTGTTTCATGAAAGTTAATATGGAGCTGATAGCGAAAATTCAAGCTGGAAGACTCCGCCCCCCCCATCTCCGTTCGCCCATTGGCGTCATGCTCATCTCTGACCTCAGCGCTGGACCTCACCCGGCGCGTCCAATCATCAATCAAGGATCCATACTCAAACCGTCAGCCGGTTCCCAGCTGCATTCAACGCACCACCCCCCTTCTCCACCCACATCCTTCGGCTCTCCAGGATGGCACCCTTTCCCGACCTCCACCACCAGCGTCGGGCCCCAGGCGAGAGCATCCCTAATCAGTTATCGAGTTCACATCAATTCTCAGCTCAAATCAGCTGCCGGGACCCGAGCGCCAGAGAACTGATATTCATTCCTGTCATTAAACCTTTTAATTGTTCCTTTTTCTCCGTCTGAGTCTTTCCAGATTGAAATGACAATATTACAATTCATTCTGCCGTAAATGTTTCTTACCCAGAGCCAAGGATGCAACGGCTACAACAAAACCAAAAAACAGTTTTCCCATCTTGACTCGGTGTTTGGGTTTTGGCTCAAAGGTGAAAATAGAGTCCTTAGACGATCAGAGGCTGCAGGAGGTCAGAAGTAAGGAGTCGGTTGGTGAAAGCAGCAATTTATATAAATATATGGGTGCAGGGTGTGGGATGGGTGGATTGGCATCTTTTGTACTTTTGAATAAAGGAGCGGCTGAGGGAGTGTGGAGAAATACACCATACCAAGAACAACTTTACCAGCATCTGAAATGTTCTGAGAATCTTTTTAACAGTATAATTGTTTTATTTAAGTAGAAGAAAAAAAGTATTAAATCCTCACTCATTCAGGAGATGAGAAACCGATTAACTCTATTTGAAGCAAAATGTATTTCTCCTCTCATTTTAAAACATGTCTTAGTTATAATGAAATCTGGTTGAATTTAAAAAATTATATATATATATATATATATATATATATATATCTTTTTTTAATTGTGGAAGTTATACAAAGCTTTAAAATAATTGCTATGGCAAAAAAAAAGTAAAAAATGTGAGGTGACATTTATAATTGAAATTGTGAATTTAATATTTGGACTTTTTCATAATAATTTCTGAAAAAGTGTAAAATTTGTCATAATTTTTTTCAAAATGGATTTTTGTCTTAAAAACAACTTTATGTTAATGGGCTCTTTGCACCTAAGGCATTGACGTCACATCTCCAGGAGCTAATGCGGTTCACTTTTTTCCGCTTTGAGTTACCATGACT